GATAGAAAATACAATTATCTATTTATAAAGTTGCTCACCTACTAGGAAAAATGATTGAAATAAATAAAATATAGGAATTATCCTGGGACTCTAGAATGAGTAACTGAGAGAACAAGATCAATTTGCCTCCTAGTAAATTCCACCAGGAATTCCAGCATTGCAGGTAGAATGAGAAATCAATAAAAACAAAACACCATGGAAGAAGACAATGGAAAATCACTTCTATTGTTATCAAGAAACTATGGGAAATAGCTGTATGGTATTCATACAGGGGTTAACTTGAAAAATGTGGCACCAGTTTTGCAACAGTGCAACATGTCTGAAAATCCACACATCAGCCCCCAAAGTCAGTGAGGTCCACGAGATAATGGGTTGTTATGGTTTTAGAAATAATACTGAGGATTTTATCAGAAGGATCCCAAACTACAACAACAAACCTATGCTTAGGCAAGGAAAAACCTTGCCTCACATATAAATTCATCATGGCAAAACAATAGCTGAGTCCTTTATCATTCACACTGAACGCAATAGATACAAAATTGTTAAAATTCAGATTCCCTTTAAATTTTAACATTTCTTAAGGTGGTGGGGGGAGAATCTACATTTCTATCTAGCACTTCACATGCAGATAGATAGAATAATACTCATGATAAATGGACCCCGAGTGTTCAACCTCCTCTAGTCTTCACCAGACAGAAAAGTGCTATAATATAAATGCTACACTGCATTTAAAACATAGAACTGTAGAATTAGTATATTTTATCCATCTTGTAATGTATGTTTTTATTATTTCTTTATAAAGCAAAGTACCAGAGTCTTGGGGAGGCAGGCAGGCTAGATCATTCTTCCCCATTTTCCCCATGTTTTGATCTTTATGTGGGGTTTTGAATCCATTGACAAACCTATTCCTTGGTTCCCTTAATATGTTTGTAATGGACTGATCATTATTCACGAGCACGAGCACATAATTATTCATAAGGAAGTTTGCCTTAAGTCAAACTTCTCTTAACAATCCTAGTGGGAGTGTCTTCCTTTCTCCTGGACCAACAATTACTAAGAGAACATTCTGCAGCTACATTTATTGCTTCTCTGTATCAAATTCTAGATACCTAAGCATACGTTTTATGCCTTGTATTTTAAGAACATAAGTGGAGGGAAAAATCCTCCTAGCTACACACATTAAATAAACGGAATATGGTCTATGTCAGTATCATAAGAATCAAATATGTTGCTTCCAGACTAGAACTACTTAAGGCAGTTTTTTATACAGCATTTAGTATAATATTCAACAAATTCCTATATATAGTGGGTTTTCTTCTCTTTCCTTTCGGTTATAGGTAAATCTGATTCAGCAATGCAGGTTCTATCTATTGTGTTCCTTCCTGTGAAAAGTCTGGAAGGATCAATCATCAATAACCTCTTAACTGATCTTTGAATAGGCTCTCTAAAGTAATGCAACTTTAACTACTGTCCCTATAGGTTGAGGAAATGGAACCGGATATCACAGAGGAAGTAGTGTGAGCACTCAACCAGTTGCCTAACCGCAAAGCCCCAGGAGTTGATGGAATTCCTGCAGAATTGCTGTGACCAGTGCCAACAAAAGGACTGATAGCACTTTGCCAAAGTGTATGGAGGCCTGGTCACTGGCCAAAAGAATAGAAAAGGTTAATATTAATCCCAATATAAAAAAAGGTGATACAAAAGATCATTCCAACCACCAAACCATAGCCTTGATACCACATGTGAGCAAAACGGTCTTGAAGACAATTTAGCAAGGTTTGGATTCAACTGCCAATAGGGAACTACCTGATGTACAAGCAGAATTTCAGAAAGGAAGAGGAACGTGTGATCATATTGCCAATCTATGTTGGATGGTGGAAAAAGCAAATGAATACCAAAAAGATCTCTACATGTGCTTCATTAACTACCCAAAAGCCTTCAATTGTGTTGACCATGACAAGTTTGGAACCACCTGAAAGAACTGGGAATATCACCACACCACATCCAGCTCATTCAGTCATTGTACTCTGACCAGGCAGCCATTGTAAGAATGGAATATGGAGACATAAAATGATTCAGAATTGAAAAAGGCATTTGGCAAGGTTGAATCTTGTCACCTATACAATGAGATCATCGAAACAATAAAGAAATTCGTCTTCCTGGACTCTAAAAATCAACCAATGTCTAGCATGAATAACATCTGAAAGAGTAAAGACATCAGCCTCGCAACCAAATGCAGACTAGTTAACCCAATAATTTTTCCAATTACTACTTATGGCTGCAAAACTTGAACTCTAAAAAAAGGCAGATAGAAAAAAGGATGCATTTGAAGTGTGGTGCTGGAAGCGACTATTACACAGCCCATGAACTGCAAAAGTAAAGTCCTAGACAGAACCTCACTAAAAATATCACTTGAAGCCAAGATCACCAAATAGAAGCTGTCATACTTTGGTCATGTTATAAGAGCTGACTCACTCAAAAAGTCAATCGTGCTGAGAGAAATCAGTAGAAAAAGGAGAAGGGGCCGCCCTAGCACCCACTGGCTGGGCATTATAAATGACACTGAGATGACCATGGCGGATGTGAAGGAGGCGGTGTGAGACAAAGAGGCATGGAGAGCGCTGATCCATAGAGTGGCCAAGAATCAAACACGACTAAATGGCTGACGACAATAAGTATGGGTTGAGGAGATAATCCCGTCACAATCAACAAAAAACACAAATATGGACAAAACCAGCAAACAGGAAATCTTTAATTAAATGCAAAGAAAATTAAAAGTTTCAGTAGTGTTTTGTCTACCATGGCCAGGCTGATGCTAAAAAAAAGTGTATTTCTCCTCCCATGTGTAGATTCAAGTATCCATAATAGTATTAAACTCTACCTGAGAACAAAAAAATACTAAGCTACCAAATTTTAATGATTTTTCACATATTTCCCCAAGATATGTCCATGAACAAAGTAAGGCAATTCCAGGGAAAAAAGGCTATTGCAGAAACAGTTAGATGGGAAAAGCTATGGAATGCTATGTTTATAAAATATAGACCACTGGTGATTATCACTTGTTGGTGACAATCTTCTTTGTTACAGTACATAGAAAAGGAGTTGTGCTTATGTTGGTTCTCAGTTCTGGTCTAGAGAGGACTGTTTTCAGAAATGGCACTGAAAGGAACAAACTCACTTGCTGTGTATACACCAATATTTCTTGCACCATAATAAAAAAAAATATTTCCTATAATGAAAAAATACGCTGTTTGATCAAAATAAGATACTCAGAAATTAACGATTCAGTATTCTTAATGACACATCAAAAACTCCTGCATAGTTCATTAGGTAAAGTGAGCAAGATTGTGTCAGTCAGAAAATCTGGGGCTATCAGTAAGCATACAAGATATAGACAGGAAGCTATAAAATGGTGGTAGTTCATATAAACCCCTGCCATGACAGTGAATTGGTACAGTCCCTATATAGATTTACCTCTGAAATAAAAAAATGTTCTAAGAAACCAGAACCTGAGCCCAAGATGCATACAGGTAGTCCTCGACTTATGGTCACATTTGGGACAAGAACTTAGTGATATAATCATTAAATAAGTCGTGCCCAATATGATGACCTTTTTTGCTGTACTCATTAAGCAAATCACACAGTTGTTAAGCAAATCTGGCTTCCCCCATTGACTTTGCTTGTTGGAGACCAGCTAAGGTTATATATGGTGATCATATGACTTGGGAGACTGCAACAGATGTAAATACATGCTGGTTGCCAAGCACCTGAATTTTGAACATGTGCCTGTGTAGTCATTGCACCAGCCATAAGTGCGAGGATCAGTTGTAACTCACTGTTTTCAGCACCACTGCAACTTTGACAATCATTAAACAAACGGTCATGAGAATTACCTGTATGTGCATATTTTTTAAGCAATCCATTTTGATACATTTGTTGCTGGAAACAGTGCTGCATGTGCAGCAGTCGGCTTTACTGCATACATAAAGGTAGGGAACCTCCCATAAAACATTTTTATTTTTTTTATAATCTGAATACAAATTACTACAGTATGCATTTGCCTTAAAATAGTTGTCTTCAACTTTCTCTTTTTAAATCTTCACACTTTCTATAATTAGCAAAATGATGCTTTCTGGATCATGTGTGAAAATATTGAGGATTAATTGAAATGGGACAGGATGAATCTCACACCTTCTGTGCTGATTGCATTATTTTTACTGATACCCATTTCACATTATCAGAATGTTTATATATCAGGATAAAACAAAAAGTTCCAAGAATTCTGTCTTATGGTGAATATGTGTCTTTTCATTAAGCCACTTTTAACTTTTTACTAACATAAATACCTTAAATCCAGATATTTCTCCTTATTTATTGCTGTTCCATCATTGCTGATTCCTGACTTCAGCTCGATTACAGAGACATATCCCAAAGGTTATTCATACATCACAAAAAAAAAATCATTGTTCAGGCACTCCCACTAGCAGGAGGACTCAAGGAAGAGGGATTAAGCAGCATGCATCAGCACTCTTTTTCCTTCATAGTAAACTAGATTTCTTTGGAATGCTGGTTTCTATCAGAGTACAACTCATGAGTGTCATTTGCATAACTGAAGGAAACAGAATCTAGAAAATGGGCAAGAATTTGAAACAAACTTCTCTTTAGTTCCTAAATTAAATAACACTTTTTTCTTGTCCATTTGTGTTGTTAGCCTATGAAAGGTTCAAGGTACCTGAAAAAGAGACATAAATTAACTGATAACATAATATTAGGTAAAAAAAGAAAGCCCTAGATATAATTCTATGGGAATGGAGTAGAAGAGCAAAGATACTCAGGTCTTGGAGTAGAACTACAGCTCACTACATCTTTGGGATTGATGGGAGTTGTAGGCCGATTGTTCTGGAGGGCACTGCATTGAAGAAAGTTAGATTACAAGAATGGAACTGAAAACTCAAGAGATGCACTTTCTTCAAGTATATGAAGGGCACTGAAAGCATTACCTGATTTTGACTGGCCTCATACAGCTCTTGAGCCGCCGTGATTCACCTTCTTTAGAAGACCTTGTGGGTAGAACTTGGGTAGTCGATGCCCCCTTCAGTACCACACTATAATTCTTGCCCTGATTATTGGCCCAGTAAACTCCTTCTTCGGTCTGATAGCGAACCACAAAATCAAGCCGGGCTCCTCCTCCTTCCTCATCTTCCTCATCGCCAAACTCCAGGCGGAAGGCAAACCGGTCAGTCAGGCCTCCATCTGGTGAGCCCCCTGGAATATAGAGGGCGGGGTAATCCCGGTGACTTTGCCACCGGTCTCTGCTGGCCCGCACATGCACAGCCTTGTGGTAAGAAATGTTGAGCACACGCACAGTACCACGAAGCACTCGTGGCTCTCCAGGCTCTGGTGGCAAAACTTCTTCCAATTCTATCTTGGCCTGGTGCAGCCGTTCAAGCTTCTCATCCTCATCTTGCCCCACTGGTTGCAACACAAAAGATGGCAAAAGGTAGGGAGTGCTTGTGGAGGGAGGGAGGGAGGCCAAGGAAGGTGCCACCTCAGGGGGAGACTCTGGGGAAGGTGGGGGCCAAGGCTGGTAGCGCCGCCAGCGTGCCAAGGGCAAGCCCAAGGCATCAGCAAACAGCACATGCCGGCCTGCGGTGTGCTGAGAGGGCTCCTCCATGGGGGTGGCAGCTGCAGTGGCATTTTGGGAAAACAGTCCAGGGTGCCCTTGAGCATGCTGGGAGGGGAGCCCTCGGCAGTCCTGCACTGCATGCTGGGAAGGTGGCCCAGGCAGGCCTGTGGGATGCTGAGAAAGTGGCCTGGCCAAGCAAGGGTGCTGGTGGTGCCCATCATCCTCCCCGTCGTCCTCTGACGAAGAGCAGCTCTCTGGGGCGCTGGGGTGCTGAGGCCTGGGGACCGGGGAGGAGCGTGGCATGAGAGCCCGGGCTGGGGGATCTTCCTCCTCCTCCTCCTCCTCTCCGTCTTCTTTTTCGTCGTCGTCGTCGTCGTCTTCCTCCTCCTCCTCCTCCTCCTCCTCCTCGGCCGCCTCCCGAGTGAGAGGCAAGGGAGGTTGTGGCGGCGGTGGCGGGGAGGAGGAGGAGGCCCCCGCGCGAGCCATGGCGGGCGGCTGGGAGGACGGCGGACTAGCGGCGCAGACAGCTGCTGCTGCTATTGCCGAAGCTGCCGGGCGGGGGGCGGAGGACGACGACGACAGAGAGCCGGGGTGGAGCGAGCCGGGAGAGGGAGGTGGAGCGAGCAGAGGAAGCCGAGGAACGCGGGAGTCGCAAGCTGGTGTCAGGCAGGCTAGCGGCTGCACCAATCGGAAAGCAGACCGTAAAGGGGGGGGGAAAGACCCTCTTCTCCTTTACCCGAGAAAAACCCGCAGGCGGGCGACCCTAGCCGGCAGCAAAACACCGGGCAAAGCAGTCGAGACCGAAGCAGATCTATGCCCGCCGACACGCAGAGAGGGGAGGAATGGCTGCGCACGGCGTCGCCTCCCTCCTCCCGAGCCCCCTCTGGTCGGATGAACTCATCGAGGCTGATAGAAAGCCAGGAACACAATTTGAGCTTGATTGGTTGTGGAGGGCGCTTATTTTATAATCTCCGAACATCTGTCGGAGAGAAAACGGTGAGGAAAGAAAATAATATCAGCTGTGACGTGCGCCTGCATTTTTATACCAGGACATAGATCTAAGACGAGGTAAAGTGGCAGCGTAGTCTATCCCAGGAAAGACCCTCTTGATCCCGTGTACAGTCTCTCGGGGTGTTTTTAAAAATGATTTCTTTATCAGAGGCCATGCGAAATGAAACTAGAATATCATATAAATAATAGCCGTTGTGTTATCCTCACCTGTAATAAATGCATGCTTTTTATTGCACGACATTGTTCAAAATAAAAGTATTACAAATCCAATACTGTATGGGGAAGTACATTCACTAGATCCAGTTCTCAATCAGGTTGATCCGAAATACTTTTAACCCAACTGTATATGTGGCGTATAAATTCCAGGATTAAATTCATATTTATTGGATGACAGTTTAAATTTATAGGAATTAAATATGGTTTACTTGAACATTTTAAAGTATATCCAAAATGGTTATTTAACATTTACTAGTATGATAAAAACAGCAGCCTGGGTGGCAAAATTTTTGAATTGATATGCATAGACATGCTGTACGTAATATTGTGTCAAATAATTTTTATCTTTATTTTTTGCATTAGCATATTATGCAAGGAAGCAGAAAGGGGATTGTTTTCTCAAGGAAGAAATGTCACTTGGAAAAATGACCTTCACCATTTGCCCATCACCGAAAACTAATAGATTTGTTAAAACAACATTTCTTGGTTGACATAAGTGTGGAACCTCCTTCCCTCCACTCGTATAGAATGGAATACATCAGGTTTCATCACTGCTAGTTTTTAAATACTTTTGTTCTGTATATAGGAAAAAATAATTAAAATAAACGTAGTGTTAAAATATTCTTCCCAAAGAATTAACCTAGAAGTTTATGAAATGGTTAAGGTTATAGACAACATCAAATTATTTAAAAAGTTAAAAGAAAAAAGGTAGCAAAGAATTGCACAAAGACTCTCAATGGCAGAATAAGTATTTAACAAATGTGGTTCCACACATACATATAAAGTAGAAAAGGAAACATTTTTCTTCCTCATGCTACTAGAATCCAGGGTCTCCCAATTAAACTGAACAGTGAAAAATTCTGGAACAAATGATGTTAATGATTTATTAAATTTATATGATGCTCGACTGCCTAGTGAAATACACATTCATAAGTACATAAAGAATTAAATTCACTTCTATATGGTAATTGGAGAAATGAATGAAGCATAACATTAGCAAATCAATCAGAATACCGTAAATGCCGGCATATAAGACGACTTCCGCGAGCACTGAAATCGGCGCCAAAGACGGGGGTCGTCTTATACGCCGAGTCGTCTTATACACCGGAAATACTGGTAGTTTCCGGCGTATAAGACGACGTTCTAGGAATGTGGCCCGGCTATAAAGACAGGGGTCGTCTTATACGCCGGGTCGCCTAGTACGGCGGCATATACGGTAACTGTATGTGGCCTTCAGTATCAGTGTGAAAATGATGGTCTACTCATCCTACGTATAGACTTCCTGTAGTCATCTAGTTCAGGGGCCCCCAACCCCTGGTCCGTAGACCGATACTGGGCCGCGGCATGCCAGCAACCGGGCCGCACAAACAAACAAAGCCCTATCCGCAGGATGCAGGCAGCACACAAAACCACGCCCCCTCCGATCCGTGGAAAAACCTCTCTCCATGGAACTGGTCCCTGGTGCCCAAAAGGTTGGGGACCTCTGATCTAGTTCATTCACTCATTCAGTGTTAGCAGGGCAAAAGAATAAGCAAAAACAAAAAAGCCAGTGCTTCTCTTAAGACAATTGAAACTAGTTGACAATAATGTAAGGCAACGATGAGAAGAAAAAGGGGCACTAAAGATGCAGGAAGGAAGAGGATTTAAAACAGAATTATATTCTTATAGAGACTATACTAGGTCTAAAAACACTGGATTATTATGCATAATATCTATACTTCACACTGCACAAGTCAATTTGTTACCCAACTAACAAAATGTTAAAGAGATTTTCATATCAGGTGAAGAATTGTTTTCCCTTATATAGTTTATTTGGTCTTATTTGATCAGAAGTGACATAATTTCTTTAAAGTCACTTACAAGTGCAGAATTCTAAAGTTTCATCATGTTTTTAGGTCCCCTTTGTTTATTTTTACTTTTATTATGATTTTTGTTAGGCTTGTCAATAATATTGCTAATGAAGATTTTTATCATGCTTGTTCTGTTTTCAGAGCTCATGTTTAGAACTACTCTTATTGGCAATCTAGGAAAACATTAAATGTATATATGTATGAACGATTTGATCATTCCTTTCTAGACCTTTAATTCATTTGTGAGAAGTAGCTAATTGGGAGCCCTAGAAAGTGCACCTGCTGTTGTTATAAGTGATGTTTGCAGTCCATGTTCAATGTAAAAACACAATGTCAATAGGCAAAATCAAAATCTTTAGAGTGAAGATCATCCTGGAATTTGTGCCTAATAAATCAACTCCCAAAACTGAACTATTTGGAAATGGATTTACTGATGCTTGCCTCTTCACTTGCATATAACAAATGCAGTAAAGTATATGATAACAATATAATTTTATATGTTTTTATATATCAATTATATTATATTGTACTCTTCCCAGAACCCCCCATTGAGGGAAATACAGGTACTTTAGAAATATGAAAAACAAGCAAGCTAACAAACAAAAAATAAATTGACACTTTTTACCTCTGCCAAATCTAGACAAGTTATACTTCTTAAATCATGGGAAGTTAGATTTGCAGGTTGTATTGCTAAATTTCTGAAAATTGAGATATTGCACTAAAACCAGGAAAGAAAGCAGAACCTTAAAAAAGGGTGTGTTTTTTTTTACAAATGTGTTTATTGTTTGCTAAAAATTATATAAAATCAAAATAATGCCTCCATGGAGAAGTTCACATAGTAATTTTGTGGATCAGCTAAAGTTGGCTACAGTTTGGCATATCTATGGCATTATTATAAGTCATTTTATCATATACATAAATTCAAATGTACAAATGTAAGTATATTTTTTAAAAAGTGCATCTGAATCCTTTGCAAACTATTACATGTCCAGTAAATATATTCTTTCCTATTTCTTTTCTGTAGAGTTCTGGAGTTATATTTTTGGGTTTTTTTGGCAATGATTTTGAGTTGATGGGCAGTCTTGGTCTTTGGATAACATGTTGGTATGGGACCCATATTCCTATGTGTGTCCCATACAAAAAAAGTCAAATTTGATTTGATTAAATTTGAAATTAGTTTACTTAATTAGCAGGACATTCCACCACAGATCTCTAAGTAATTTGAAAAAAAATGTTATCGATGAAGTTGAGGGAGAAACTCAGGTCTCAATTGGTTTTTAACACATTATCATAAAATGCTTATAACAAAATACTTCTAATGTATCTTATTATATTATATCTACCCTGTCTTTCTGTCTTTTTACTCTTCCATCCCTATTTAAATTGTACTTCAGTCATGTCCCTCCATGCATCTGAAAAAATGAGCTGGGTTCATAAAAGCTTATGCCTTTTAATAAAATGTCTTTTTTGTATAACTTTTATAGAAGAAATTTTAATAAAGTAAAAAATAAAAGAAAATAAAGATACTAAAGAAAAATCTTTTTTTCTTTTTTCATTATTTACTATTTTTTATTATTTTTTAATAAAATTTCTTAGTCCGATCGGGACTACAACACTAGATTTCTAAGTTTCTCTTTGAAACGATTAACAAACTCTTTCAATTTCTTAACATCTTCTTGTTTACAGTGTCAGTGAAGTCATTGTTAGTGGCTTCCTGTGCAACCTAGAATATAGTCTCCCAATTTCTAGTGCATAAAATTACTCCTTTTGCTAGTGTATTTTTATTTAATTATTTTGATTGTAATTAAATTATAATTGTTGATTAAGAGATGAGATACCAAAATGAGTTGATCTGTAATGTGTGAGTTCTTTGTGGAGATTATTTTTTATTTGATTTTAAAAAAAACATGAAAAACTCTAGATTTAGACAGGCACAATCCTCAGGAAATGAAAATGCCAGGTTGATAAAAGCCTGAGGAAAATTTAGAGTTTCTGAAGCAAATTTCACTTTGCTGCTAATATCTTAATGTCAGTTATCTCAGTTTCTAGTATGATGGAGCTAACAAAAAGTTATAATTCAAAGTAATGAACAATAGTCTGTTATTTTATTACTATTACTTTAGCAAACCAAAGATTATGAGCACTTGTGCAAAACCTAGCACATCCTCTTTGTGAATTACAATTGTATTCTTAAATTATCTCCCCCTAACCCCTAATATTACAAAATGAAACATCAATGTATTGCACCAGCATTAGAGGCTTTAGAAAATAAGGCCAAAATATTACACTTTGGAAAACTAGATAAAATTACTTTATTAAAAGAATTTTAATTTTAAAAAGACACAGGTACTAGCTAGTTATTACAACAGGCAGAGAAAGCTAGTTCAGTTACATTACAAACAGGATTCATATATACTTATAAATATACTTAATAAACGAGGGCAATTCGGAAATAAACCTCCATTTGGTTATCAATGACAGACACTCAGTACACAACTTTTATTATACATACTAGAAAACTACATTACATTACTTTTTGACATAATCGCCATTCAAATTGAGGTACTTTTCATAACGTCTTACAAGGTTTGAAATTCCTTAGTAGTAGTTGCTTGGCACCAAATCTGGGCTATGGGGGGGGGGCTGATCAAAAACATCTCAATAGAACTGCTTCAAAAGTGCGTCTAGCGGTCTGCGGACGAGCATTATCGTGAACCAACACCACATCTGAAGTGGTGCCATAGAAAATCCTGCCAAATGTGAAGATGCCAAAGGAGTACTGCTAGTGAAGCTCACGGAGTGTGTTTCGACTAGCAATTCAGAAGTCTGCTGTGAAATGTTACAAAACCTCAGATGAGCCATCCATAACAAATGTCGGGGCATGCTGACTTCCAGTGTGGTGTTGGTTCACGATAATGCTCCCCCGCACACCGCTAGACGTACCCAAGAACATTTGAAGCAGTTCCGTTGGGATGTTTTTGATCACCACCCCCCCATAGCCCAGATTTGGCAGTGAGCAGCTACTACTAAGGAATTTCAAACCTTGTAAGACGTTATGACAAGTGCCTCAATTTGAATGATGTTTATGTCAAAAAGTAATGTAATGTTGTAGTTTTCTAATGTGTATAATAAAAGTTCTGTACGAATTGCCCTTGTACTTCTATAAGTATATTATAAGTATATAATATATACTGATTCATAAGTTGAAAAAATAATAAATTTCCCGAAAGCCCAAGATGAGGAGGATATTCTGAAAAACATGTAGAAGTTAAGCTAGTGATCTCATATTTTTATTTACTTATTTTTAAACCACCTAATTCCTAGTGGCTCTGGGCAGTTCACAGTTAACAACACAAGGGGAATAAAATAATACAACAATAGAAACAAAGAACAGAACATGACATAAACCAGACAACAACCAAAGCAAACCTGCAATACCAATGGCAGTCACCATTGCCAAAGCCCTGGGTGAACAGCCAGGTCTTCAAGTTCTCTGAAATACTGTCCAAGTGGAGGCTATTTGGATCTTTGGGGGAAATTCTGAAATGACCAATAATTTTCAAGAATAGATAGCTATTCTGATTAACTTAAGAACTAACAGTCAATGATCACAGACATTTCTGATAAACACTACATTTAATGTATATGTTTATATGGCGATCAGCAGACAGAGTACACTAAACATCAAATTGACTAATTGCCAAAAATAAGTGGAGCAATCAAAGACATGATCAGATGCAGGCTGCGGAACAGGTCATGAATTGCTTATCTGTAAGTTCTAAATTAAGCTAAAGAAGAAGAAAACTACTCACTTTCCACAATATCTTGAGTATGTACCCATCATTTTCAAGGAGATCAGTAGAAATTGCTTTGAAGTCCTGAACCTCACTTATAAGCAAACAAGAGGAACTGTGGAATTAACTTAAAGAAGCTGTTAAGGATGAATGTGAGAAGAAACTGCCAAAGATGAAATCGAAGAAAGCAAACTGGATGTCAGAACAAACCATGGAAATTGGCAAGAAGAGAAGCCAAAGCCAGGAAAGACAAAGACCTCAGGAAGGAATCGAACAAAGAATTTCAGAGAGTTGTTAGAAGAGACAAAAAGCAATATTAAACACACACACACACACAGACACACACAAAGAGAGAGAGAGAGAGAGATTCAAACAAGATCAAACAAAGATGGAAGGAGTATATTGAAATACTGTACAGTAGAGGTATCAATATCCAAGATATCTTAGGAGATAATTCCCTTTTTACAATAATCTCTAGCACTCTAGAAGATGAAATGAAATCGGTACTCCAGTCATTACCAAGCCAGAAGGCTTCAGGAACTAATAGAATAGCCACAAAAATATGATAAGCAACAGAAGAAAAATCAGTAAAAGTTCTAACCAAATTATGTCAGCAAATCTGGAAAACAATACTATGGTCAAAAGATTGGAAGAGATCAATATATATTCCAATGCCATAAAAGGAGACTCAACAGAGTGTGGAAGCTATCATACAATATCCTTAATTTCATATGTGAGCAAAATAATGCATAGGCTCATCCAGTGCAGCAAAGGGTGCTCCATATGAAAAAGGAGATGCCAGATGTTTAAGCTGGTTTTAGGAAAAACTGAGGAACATGAAATATTATTCCCAATACATGCTGGATAATTGAGAAAAACAAAGAATACCAAAAACAAGTCAGTGTTATTATAGAAAGGCCTTTAATTGTGTGGCTCATATCACGATGTGGAATGTGCTAAGAAAAATGGGAATCCCAATACATCCTATATATATATATATATATATATATATATATATATATATATATATATATTTTCTGAGGTTTTCGCGGGTGTTTGTATGTAGGTCTTTGGTTATTCGGGTTTTCTCACACTTCCAATTTTACTCACACTTTTTTCTCACACTTCCAATTTTACGTGGGAGAAAACCCGAATAACCAAAGACCTATATATATATACACACACACACATACCTCCATAGGAACCTGGAATGTAAGATCCATGAATCAAGGCAAGCTAGACGTAGTCAAAAAAGAGATGACAAGACTGAACATCAACATCTTAGGAATCAGCGAACTAAAATGGACAGGAATGGGTGAATTTAACTCAGATGACCATCAGGTATACTACTGTGGGCAAGAATCCCTCAGAAGAAATGGAGTAGCCTTCATAGTCAATAAAAGAATAGGAAAAGCAATACTGGGATACAATCCCCAAAATGACAGAATGATCTCAATTCGAATCCAAGGCAAACCATTCAATATCACAATAGTCCAAATCTATGCCCCAACCACTGGTGCTGAAGAGGATGAAATTGACCGGTTCTATGAAGCCCTACAGCACCTTATAGAATTAACACCAAAAAATGATGTCCTTATCATCATGGGGGATTGGAATGCTAAGGTAGGAAGCCAAAAGATAACCGGAATAACAGGCAAGTTTGGCCTTGGAGTACAAAATGAAGCAGGGCACAGGCTAACAGAATTTTGTCAAGAGAATACGATGGTCATAACAAACACTCTTTTCCAACAACCCAAGAGACGGCTCTACACATGGACATCACCAGACGGTCAACATAGAAATCAGATTGACTATGTGCTCTGCAGCCAAAGATGGAGAAGCTCTATACAGTCAGTAAAAACAAGACCAGGAGCTGACTGTGGCTCAGATCATGAGCTTCTCGTTGCAAAATTTAGGCTTAAATTGAAAAAAGTAGGGAAAAGCACTAGGCCACTCAGGTATGAACTAAATCATATTCCTGATGAATATACAGTAGAGGTGACAAATAGATTTAAGGAATTAGATCTGATAGACAGAGTGCCTGAAGAACTATGGATGGAAGTTCGCAACATTGTACAAGAGGTAGCAACTAAAACCATCCCAAAGAAAAAGAAATGCAAGAAAGCAAAATGGCTGTCTGAGGAAGCTTTGCAAATAGCTGAGGAAAGAAGGGAAGCGAAAGGCAAAGGAGAAAGAGAAAGATACACCCAATTGAATGCAGAATTCCAGAGAGTAGCTAGAAGAGATAAGAATGCCTTCTTAAATGAACAGTGCAAAGAAATAGAAGAAAACAACAGAATAGGGAGGACCAGAGATCTCTTCAAGAAAATTGGAGATATGAAGGGAACGTTTCATGCAAAGATGGGCATGATAAAGGACCAAAATGGCAGAGACCTAACAGAGGCAGAAGAGATTAAGAAGAGATGGCAAAACTACACAGAAGAACTATACAAGAATGAGCTTAAAATCCCAGATAACCACAATGAGATGGTCATTGACCTCGAACCAGACATCCTAGAATGTGAAGTGAAATGGGCCTTAGAAAATCTGAGCAACAACAAAGCTAGTGGAGGTGGCAGTATTCCAGCTGAGCTATTCAAAATCTTAAAAGACGATGCAGTAAAAGTGCTACACTCAATTTGCTAGCAAATTTGGAAAACTCAACAGTGGCCACAGGATTGGAAAAGGTCAGTCTACATTCCAATTCCAAAGAAAGGCAATGCCAAAGAATGTTCAAACTATC